TGAGAGCAGACAAAACTGGTTATGTTTTACTTGCATCCCGGTTGCTATTTCATTTAAGTGAGCCTCTACAACTGCCCTATTTCCCAACCACATATAAGGAAAGCAGAACAAAGATCTCATAGCATGATTCTATGTCATTTTGTTAGAGTGGATCTAACAGGGAGGATTTCAACAGCAGTCTCACCCCACATTGGTGAATCACCGTTCACGGTGAAGTGCATTGCAAATTCGAAGTTACTTCAATTAAAGAAGGGCATTTTTTATTGATTTGTATTTTAGAAAACTAAATCTGATTATGGTTATGCCAATTCAATTCCACTCACTTGGCTTTGAGATACTGTCATAGGAGAGGAGGAGAAAGGGGTCCCATCGAACCAAGAAGACAAGGAATGCTTATAATTCAGTCTTTTTAGTGGATGGCATTGCTGCTGATCTGGGTTTGTCTAAGAGTTGATGTTTTCTCACTTTAATAAGACTTAAACAAGCTTGTCTAATGTCTTAAAACCTGACAAGGGAGTGTGTTGTGTATGTGAGGTACATCTAGCCTGCATGTAGAGATGGAGAAGAGTTGAGAATCCTTTCATGTAGTGTTTTATTGTATACCCTAGTTTATACTCTTGAGCATGGCATATCTAAATCCACCATCACTGTTACCCTTGCCAATTCCATATTGGATTCTCTGCTTATCTTTGCTTATCTTCAAATCTGCCATGCTCATTCAATAGCCTTTGTCATGTGGCTCCTTTTGCCTTGAAAACCCTCTCCCCAAACTCAGTGAAGTACTTTCCTTTACCCATGTCTGCCTTCTGTCAGACCATTACCACATGAGTGAGTGCGCTGACTCAATTCTCACGTGCTGGCCCAGGGCAGACAGCAGCTGCTTTATTCCCACTGTGCCTGTCACAGTGCTGTGATCAGTCAGGAAGCAAGTGAGTGGTCAGTCTGTCTCTCCAGGGTTGATGTTTTCTCACTTTAATAAGACGTAAATATGCTTTTCTAATGTATTAAAACCTTGCTTGTAGGCATAAGATGGAATGGGAAGTGGTTTGAACAGTCATTAGAAAATCTGTGTACAAGAAACTAGCTGAGTGATTCACATTTATAAGAAATTATGGGCTGCTCAGAATACCTGAACCCATGAATTTGGGAGTTGGAGGCATGAAATCAAGTTGCCCAGGACTCTCACCCTCACATCCCTTCAGGACTTTAAGTCAGATAGGTGAGAGGCAGGGGTAAGCTGGGGGAGAAAAAAGTGATTTTATTTTAGTTTTCTCCCAACACATGCACTGAACTATCTTGGCCAACAAAAGTCTTCATTATTCATTCACGTTAGTACATTTTTATAAATGCCTACTCTGGGTCAGATTTTGCGCTAGTTGCTTAGGATACAGCCCTGGTTTCAAGGAGGTGCCTCCGGCTTCTTGTGGGAAGAGAGGAGGAGTAAACAGAACTTTGCAATTCACTGGGGACCATGGTCCCCAAAGTGAACAAGAGCACTTAGATTATATCCCACAGGGCCTCCTAACTGCTTTGTAGACAGGAAGATCTGCTGCCCTTTGCCCCTTTCTATGTAAACAAAGGCTTCCTGGTGCAGTCTGGACCATTTGTGCCACCACTGAGAGAATGCAAAGCCAGGGAGAAATGATTTGTTGTGGTAGGTGTATTTGGGGTGGGCAGGTTGAAGAATTTTGACTAGTCAATGACAAAGGCAATAAAGGAATTTTTGCTCTCTAAAGAAAATAGACTTATGGGATTGAGACAAGGTAGATTTTTGTTGGTCACAAGTGAATCTTTCTAATGTTTATTTGTGTGGGTTTCTAGGAATAATTGAGAATTTCAGGGACAGAAATGGAATGTTTCTCATTTGCTTTATAATTACTTAAAAGGGCAAAGAGGTGTGTGTGTGTGTGTGTGTGTGTGGTATGGGATAGGGGAAGGGAGGCTGGGGGCAGAGCATACTCTTCTCAATTGGATCACACCTATCTCTCAGGTTCCAGTTACTCTTGGTCCACCCCAAAGCCATGTGCCCCTGTATCTTCATGGTAGCTGCTCTCATTTTCGCCATTCTTTAGACAAATCTCCCCTTTCCCAAGACAGGTGCTGCTCCGTTCCTTGCCCCCCAGGAAAACCATTCTCACACCAGCATCATAGCATGCCTACCCTTGTTTCAAAATCTGTCTGTGCATCTGATACAGCCACTAGTTTATGGGATGAACGGGCATAGACCACATGGTATTATCATTGCTAACATGAGGCCTGTATACATTGCAGACAGTCCGATGTTTAAGGCCCACTTCCACATAATTAGCTATATAACTTTGGAGCAAGTTAGTTAACCATTGTAAACCTCAATTTCCTTCCCTGTGCAATGTTGACAATAATAGTATCTAGTATATAATGTATTTAGTTATTCAGATAAAATTAGACAATATGCATGCAAAGAACTTAGCACAGAGGTGGGTACTGGGTTGGCACTGAACAAATGTTACTTATCTTGATCCAGTTATCACTAAATATTTGTTGTATGACTTGAATATCTCCTTGAGAGTGGTTATTCCTCAGCTGCATTTGACTGCAATTTCCCTGTGCTTCAGTAACTCGGATTAAATATAAATATAAATATAAATATAAATATAAATATAAAATATAAATATAAAATATAAATATAAATATATATATTTTTTTGAGAGGAAGGAAGAGGGAGAGCGAGATAGAAATATCCATGGTGAGAGAGACATTGATCGGTTGCCTCCTGCAAGCCTCCCGTACGCTTCCCACTGGGATCAAAACTGTAACCCAAGCATGTGCCCTGACCGGGAATCAAACTGTGACCTCCGGGTTCATAGGCCAATGCTCAACCTCTGAGCCAAGATTGCCAGGCATAACTCAGATTCTCGATGCCTAAGAAGTGCAAATATTTCCAAAGTCTTTAGGCACTTTAAACTTTAAAATGCTCCGGCTGTGATAGGAACACACGATAAATGGTACATGGAAGCATAATTCATAAAGTTTTAACACGATCCCATTAAAATGTCCAAGCTTCAATATAACTGTCATCTTTTGGCCATCATTCCATCTGTTTTCATCCGCCTGAAAGCATTCCACAGTTGTTTGGATTGATCTCACAAATTGCTTTTGGGAAGATCCTATGCCCTCAGCCTGCCTTCTATCATCCCAAGAAACATTGTTCCGATGAGACAACCAGAAACTCAATTATCTACCTTTGGTGTATATGCAACTGCACAGCGACTACACCACAGTGTGGAGCTACAGATGGGGTTTGGGCTAGGGCATCTGATCATTTTTACTTTGGGAGAAACCTTCCCTCCCTCGTTGCTGGAATGAACAGTAGTGGTGAATGAATGAATGGAAGCAAAGAGCCTCTCCCTCTAGAAATGATATGGAGGTACCTTTCTCTCAGCTCCCCAACTGTGCTTATGGCCAGGGCATCACAAGTAAATTTACTAACAGCAAAAGTTCAAGCTGCACTTGCTGGAAGAAGTTAGGGAAACCAAAGTTGCACTTCAGGTTTCTTTTTGCTTTTTCTTTCTTCCTTTAATATTTCCTTTTTCACTGCTTACAATGAGAATATTTTATTTATTATTTATTTATTTTTAATTAAATAGCAAAGAATAGCCGTCTTCCAGGTGTCCTTCATGGAGCCAGCAGCGGTTAGGTGAGAGAGGGCTGGGCATATCTATCATTCAGCTCAGGAATATTTCTCTCAATAATTAATGGAGCGCCACAAAAGGAGGCCCAATGAGGCCCTTGAACAAAGCTGCCAGCTGAGGACTACAGTGGCAGCCTGGGTGCCAACTGACCCGCCCGAGGTCGAATTTTTTTTGGCATTCCTGGCCCCTGGGTGTGCCAGTGCGTGGTCCCTCCCCAGGAGCGAGGGGAGGTGCAGGAGCCGCAGTCACCTCCTGAGCTCCTGGTTGTGTGCCTTAAGTTCGCACTTCCCGCCGCTATACTTTCTTTTGGTATATTTGTGGGAATCGCATATTTAATTTAGGTCCAGGGCCATTTCACGAGCTTAATAAACAACCTGGGAGCCCATCAGGTGAAGGCTGCAGCCCTGGGCTCACTCGCCTGTCTCCCAGGTTACTACAGTTTTTGTTGTGTAAGTGAGGTGGGTGAGGTTAGAGATGCGACCATTTCGCTGAAGTCATATTTCTTTTTTGTAGCAACAGGTTCACGGAGGCCTCCTCCGCTCCTTCCAAAGCTTTCTCCCCCAATTCCTTCCCCTCCCCCCTCCCCTCCCCCCGCGCCCCGATCCAAGCCAGACTTCCAGCCGGCACGAGCCTTCCTCCCACTCGGATGTGTGACCCCCGTGCGCAGCCTTTAGCCGGGGCCTGATTCATCCTCTGGGTGGAACACATATAAAGTCCATCTCCTCGCCCCTGGAGGTCCACCGCGATTTGAGGCGAACAAACTCTGTACAAGGGGAGCGGAGACCCAGGGGTCTGGGCGCGCTCGCAGGTGTTGCCAGGGCTCTGGGCCCGCGGCCCCGCCAGAAACGCACCTGAGCCCCTAACCCCACAAGCCCCTTATAGGGGTGGGGGTGCCACGGGAGCCGTAGAGAGAGCGGGACAGAGAGAGAAGATGCCCAGAAGCTCTCCGTTGTCAAGGCTGGACCTCCCGATCTCTTTTCGGGGCTCCGGCTCTGTTGTCTAGAAGCACATTTCAGCTCCAAAGGACATCTCTCCCTCCGGGATTAGCTCCTCGCCGCCGCCGGAGCGACAGCCAGGGGTTCCTGGAATGGTTCCCAGTCTTTCCCCCAGCCTTGGCATAGTGGGGGAGGGCCTGCCCATTTTTGGGGGGTGGGTGGGGGGTGGGTGCTGGCAATCTCCGCGTCGTGACTGCTCCCGCCCCGCTTCGCGGGAGGCGCCCCGGGTGACTGGCGCGCACGCCACACCCCTCGGCCTGGCCCCGCCCCCGGCGGCCTGGCCCCGCCCCCGGCCGCGCGCTCCCGCCCGGGAGGGAGGCGTGTGCTGCTCCTGCAGCCAGCTCCAGAGAGGGAGAGGGATGGATGTTGGAGGAGGAATCTGGGCTTAACAAGTGATTGCTGCTATCTAGGATTTTGTTCTTTTTTTCTGGGGGAGCCTTGACTTCCTTTCCCAGGCAAGCCCTCCCGTGCGGAACTCCAGTGGAGCCAGAAGTCTTGGGGGGTCTTCCCCGGGGCAGCCCAGGACCGCACACCTGGGCGCCTGCAGCGAGGACTCCGTGCTCCCCCCCTGGCCAGGCAGCAGAACTTGTTCCGTGGATATTCTGGAGCCTCCACCTGCCACACAGGCGTGATTCCTTCCACCCCCAGGAGCCTCCCCCCCCACCCTCCAGCTGTTGTTGCAGCTTGAGGGGGGACATCAAAACCAGCTGGGGGGAATTGTCTTTCTTTTTATTTTGGACCCCTCCTGGGAATGGTAAGTGTGATGCCTCTCTTTTCTTTCTTCCCTTTTCCACCTCTGGCTGGGAAGAAGCGGTGGGCATTGGAGGGACAAATAACATCGGGAATGTGACAGAAGGGCATGAATGGAAGGCGGTTAAAAATAAACCAGGAGGTGGGAGAAGGGAGGTGCAGATGCTGCGCGGCGCTGGGGGTGGGGGGTGGGCAGCAGTTGTTATGTTCTCTATCTCAGGGATGGGGTGCGTGCGCCCTGCTTCATGTGCCTAAGCGGGAACCTGGTCTGGAGGCGAGGGCGCGATTAAAGATGTCGTTTCCCCAACGAGGTGGTGTTTAGGTTTAGCATCGTTTGGCCTCATCCCAGACTCACCGGTTCCGTTCCTGTGGGAACAGCTGGTGGAAAGGGTTTGAATTGCTGCCTCTCCCAACACTTGGATTTTCGAGCATTTGAGCAACACATAGGGACTGTACAAATGGCGTGCGTTGAAGTGTATATTTCTCACGGTTGTTAGCCTTTCTGATGCTCTCAATCTCTCTTCTCTCTCTCTTCTCTTTGGTAAGGTTCAGGTACCACCCTAAGACAGTTGTGGAAATTAAACATGAAAACAGCCTTGCTGTTGGGAGGTGGAAGGAGGAGAGGCAGGATGCGGGGCTGTTGTTTCGGGGACCAGGGAATTGATAGTCTGCAAAACCTATTAACTTGATGGTGTTAAAGAGGAAGGGAAATTTTCCTGCCAAGTGTCCCCTCATAAAGGCTCCTGGGAGTTGGCTTGGTTATATTCTCCTAACATGAATACCTTGGGAAGCAGGAGAGATTTTAAGCCAGTCTGATTTGTTGGGTGGGAGGATTTTTTTTTCTTTCTTTTCCTCCCTCCCCCCCTTTTTCTCCTCCTCCTCCTCCTCCTCCTCTCCTTTTTCCTCTTTCTTCTCCTTTTTCTTTCTCTCTCTCTTCTTTAAGATTAGGGATAGTGAGGTAGCTGGTAGCCAGTCAAAAGAAGGATGATTTGCTTTTTGTAGGCTGGGGGAATTGGATAAACCAAACCTAGCAAACCTAAACTAAAAACTAAGAACTATTTGGTGGACAGCAAAAGCAGAGCAGGTGTAGGTCTCTCGCAGAGTTAATTGTGAATGAGAAGACCCTCTAATTAATGACCTTCTGGAAGTCAGTTGGGTGGGAGAGGGGTATACATAGTATACAAATTTACAGGCACTTTGGTTCCACTTTATTTTAATAGTGTATTTTAACTGCTTTGAGGGAGTTGGGAAGTAACCGAGCAAACTCTCCAGCTATTTGGCCTGTGGAAGAATTTAAAGGATGTCAGCCTAACCCTCCACATTGAAAACAGAGAATTAGAGGCCTCCCGAGGGTAAACATTTCAGAGTATGAGTTGATGTTAGGAAGGAAGGAAGGCAAAGGAAGAAGAACATCATGTGAGGCACCTTCACGGGTATATTTTCTGAATTTCGTGTCCCAATCAAGCTTGCCTCTTAGCCTAGGAGAAAGTATTCTGATTGGGAAGGGACATATTTTTGCCACTTCCCTGATTGTCACTTCATAAAACTCAGTGTGTTTAAGCTACTAGGCTGACAGGATTCAGCAAGCAGCAAGCAGCAGGTGGTCAAGAGCCAAATCCCTTCATTGGCTCCAGAAAACCATTTCTCTCTTGTACCCCAAGTGCTTCCAGTAATAGAAGCTAGTAGATGCACTGAATTCTAACTGTCCTTATCCTCCCCAATTCTTTGGACCACTATTCTGCATTCTTAGAAGTCCTGTTGGATAGAATGAAAGAATGGAAGAAGCAAGACTAGACAGAAGATTGGGACAGGAGCTTTTATAGGTTCTGGTGGAGAAGATGTGTTAGGTGGACCTTGGGAAATATAAACTAAGAGAGAAGGAAGGCCAGGAGTACCAAGAGATAGTGGGGACAGAGCAGGCTGCAAGGAAGATGTGATCTGGAAGTGGTGGATTGGAAAGAAAGGTGGGCAGAGAAAGGCAGAGAGAGAAGAGGGGAAAGTTGGGGAATGGGAGCTATGGATTAAATAATAGGGGAGTGTGATAGGCTGAAAACAAAGTCCATACAAAGTGGGATTTAAAACATAAGGAGCTAAATCCTTGAAAAGAGTGTAGGAGGAGACAATGAGATGAACATGGAGGAACTGCAAGGAGAGAAAATTATTATTAGAGAAGTGGAAACTGGGATTAGCTCCTAGGTTGTGGGTGGCAGGGACATGCTTCAGGGAGTCAGGAAGTACCAACTTGATACAGGCCATTGGTGGAGTCTCCAAATGCCCTGATGTCCTCGCATTTTATCCTTCCCCAGCTTCAGACTGTGGTATGAGGACATACACAACCTTACAAAAGTGGGATGGGGAGGTTGCATTATCCTCGGTTTATAGACGAGGTGATTGAAGCTTGTTCAAGTGCCGGGCCCTGGATTTAAAAAATCCATGTCGAATGTTTTTCTGACTTCTCTAATCCTGAATCAAGGGAGGTGGGTGGGGGGAGGACACTATATTCAGAAATATTTCACAAGTGGAAATTTTTTTAAATGCCTACAATCAATGCATGATGGAAATTGCTATAAAGCAACAGTATTCTTGTTGTGGAATGAAGAGAGAGACAAGAAAATAGACTGAGCTGAAATCCAAAGAAGAAGGAAAGAAGGATGTTTAGTGAGAAGGAGATTTAACCACCTGGCCCATGTTCCTTGGAAATTTATGGCTGCTTGGTGCTTTATATGGTTTGCTGGAGCACAAGAGACAGAAGTGTATGTGAAGGAAATGCTCAGTTTGCTTTTTATGATTTGATTCTTCTTTTTATTTTTCTTCCATGCTTGTTTTCCTTCCTTTTTTCAGGTGAAGTGCTTCTTCTGCATGATTTTAGCTGACGGATACTCTGCATTTCCTTGATCTCTATGGAGACCTCAGAGCTGGGTTTGCCCCTGCTGACACCTCATCTTGCACCACCTTCCACCTTCTCTACCTCCCAGGGTCTTTGCCCCTGCCGCTGATAGTTTGGCATTGCCCCTGGGTCCAGGAAGCCTGTGATGAACTTAAGGGGAGAGCCCGGAGGCTCATCCCAGTAGGTGTGAGGGACAATGGCTGGACGTACTTCAAGTCTAGTGTTAATAATAAGCAGTCACGGGAAGGCAAGTGCTAAGACGAAAGGCTTATCTGCATTGTGATGGACTGAGCTTTGGACAGTTTCCATGGCAGAAAAATATATGCCATCTTCTAGGCACAACCGCTGGCTGTCGGAGACTTGCTGCCTTTGAATTTTGCAGCAGCATCATCATCCACATCCTTATATGTATCCCCAAATTTGAACACCCACCCCAAAACAGGTGTCTGGGAGACGCGGACATTCTGGGACTTAGGCTTGAGTGTGCCAGGCTGTTCACCTGGACCCGGCCAAGCTCCGAAGAGCCATGTCGAATCCCTGGGGAAGACAGAGCATGGGGCGTGCTGATTTAAAAACAGAAAATGCAAAGTTGGACTGAAACTATCCTCCGTCTTCCAAGCAATCTGCTTAAGGGTTCCAAACTTACCTTACTTTGGTGAGGAAAAAAAAAAAAAAAGAAAGAAAGAAAGAAAGCTGCCCTATTTTTTTTTTTTTTCTTTCTTTCTTTCCTCTACAACCAGAACCAGCCATTTCCCCAAACCGCCACCATGGAGGTTGCAATGGTGAGTGCGGAGAGCTCAGGGTGCAACAGTCACATGCCTTACGGGTACGCGGCCCAGGCCCGGGCCCGGGAGCGGGAGCGGCTGGCCCACTCCAGGGCAGCGGCAGCTGCCGCGGTGGCCGCGGCCACGGCTGCCGTGGAAGGCAGCGGGGGTTCCGGAGGGGGCTCCCACCACCACCACCACCAACACCACCAACACCACCACCAGTCCCGGGGGGCCTGCAGCACCTCCCACGACCCCCCGAGCGGCCCACGCAGTCGCAGGAGGCGGCGCCCGCAGCCGGAGAAGAGGAAGGGCCACCACCGGCCCAGCAGCTTCCCGCACTGCGCCGACCTCATGCCCAGCGGCTCGGAGGAGAAGATCCTGCGGGAGCTGAGCGAGGAGGAGGAGGACGAGGAGGAAGAGGAGGAGGAGGAGGAAGAGGAGGAAGAGGAGGGGAGGTTTTATTACAGCGACGATGACCACGGAGACGAAGGCTCCTACACGGACCTGCTGCCCCAGGAGGACGGGGGCGGCGGCGGGGGGTACAGCGCGGTGCGCTACAGCGACTGCTGCGAGCGAGTGGTCATCAACGTGTCCGGCCTGCGCTTCGAGACCCAGATGAAGACGCTGGCCCAGTTCCCCGAGACCCTGCTGGGGGACCCCGAGAAGAGGACCCAGTACTTCGACCCCCTGCGCAACGAGTACTTCTTCGACAGGAACCGGCCAAGCTTCGATGCCATCCTGTACTATTACCAATCCGGGGGCCGGCTCAAGAGGCCCGTCAACGTGCCCTTCGACATCTTCACCGAGGAGGTCAAGTTCTACCAGCTCGGCGAGGAGGCCCTGCTCAAGTTCCGGGAGGACGAGGGCTTCGTGAGGGAGGAGGAGGACCGCGCCCTGCCGGAGAACGAGTTCAAAAAGCAGATCTGGCTCCTCTTCGAGTACCCCGAGAGCTCCAGCCCGGCCAGGGGCATCGCCATCGTCTCCGTCCTGGTCATCCTGATCTCCATCGTCATCTTCTGCCTGGAGACCCTGCCCGAGTTCCGGGACGACAGGGACCTCCTCCTGGCGCTGAGCGCGGGCGTGCACGGCACAGGGCTGGGGAACGACACCTCGTCCCCCCACCCCGAGGGCTCGGGGCACACGGTGTTCAACGACCCCTTCTTCATCGTGGAGACGGTCTGCATCGTCTGGTTCTCTTTTGAGTTTGTGGTCCGCTGCTTCGCCTGCCCCAGTCAGGCGCTCTTCTTCAAGAATATCATGAACATCATAGACATCGTGTCCATCTTGCCTTACTTCATCACCCTGGGCACGGACCTGGCCCAGCAGCAGGGCGGCGGGGGCAACGGGCAGCAGCAGCAGGCCATGTCCTTTGCCATCCTCAGGATCATCCGCCTGGTCCGCGTGTTCCGGATCTTCAAGCTCTCCAGACACTCCAAGGGCCTGCAGATCCTGGGCCACACGCTCCGGGCCAGCATGCGGGAGCTGGGCCTTCTTATCTTCTTCCTCTTCATCGGGGTCATCCTGTTTTCCAGCGCCGTGTACTTTGCCGAGGCCGACGAGCCCACCACCCACTTCCAGAGCATCCCAGATGCGTTCTGGTGGGCTGTGGTGACCATGACGACCGTGGGCTATGGGGACATGAAGCCCATCACCGTGGGGGGCAAGATCGTGGGGTCCCTGTGTGCCATCGCGGGTGTCTTAACCATTGCTTTACCAGTGCCAGTGATTGTCTCTAACTTTAACTATTTCTACCACAGAGAGACCGAAAACGAGGAACAGACGCAGCTGACGCAGAATGCAGTCAGCTGCCCGTACATCCCTTCCAATCTGCTGAAGAAATTTCGGAGCTCTACTTCTTCCTCTTTGGGAGACAAGTCAGAGTATCTAGAGATGGAAGAAGGAGTTAAGGAATCTCTCTGTGCCAAGGAGAAGTGTCAGGGAAAGGGGGAGGACAGTGAGACAGATAAAAACAACTGCTCTAACGTGAAGGCTGTGGAGACTGATGTGTGAATCCTGGTCTCCGCGCGCCATTGCCCCCTCGCCCCCAAGCCCGGCATCTCCAAATATATTTATGCACAGAGAGTGCAGTTATGAAAATGAAATATGCAAACGAATCCAACGCATACAGTAGTACACCATTCAATGGTTATACATGGCATAATTGTTATAAACTTGTATTACATATCAAATAAATGATGCATCTTGGAGAAGAGGGAGGCTTAAATAGGAGCAACTCAATCTTTATATTTTTTATTAGGATGCAAGAATTTTGCACATTAACTGGAAAGGATGTTAAAAGTTAAAGATGGCTTTGTGGAATGAGTGTGTGCGTTTGTGTGTGCGTGCTGTGTGCGTGTGTGTATGTATAAGTAAATTGTCAATGTTTTTTTTTAGTAATTGTGCAGTAATGGGAAAAGTTGGCATTTTGAAGTATTTACTATGTAAGAACTAATGAATTTGAACAGTCATTTATCAGTGCTTTAATAGCATCTCCTGTCTTTGGATTCCATGGTTGTTTTTTTAAAATTGTTAAGAATTACTATGTAGAAAAAAAAAGAAAGTGAATTATTTAATAGCATATAGGTCACAATTCTATCTTGGATTTAATTAAAGTTTATTTTTAACTGGAAATTAACTTTTCAAAAGGCTGCAGGGGTCTTTAGAAATTGTTTATATTTTATTATTAATTTTGGGATGATATGAGAGCAAATGCCTAATAATATGGGAGAAATGACATCAGAGAAAATGTAACAAGCTTTGTTTAGAAATCCCAGCACTGGAATTTTTTTTTTCTTTGCACTATTTTATATGCTGGAGATTGAGAGAGACTTCATACTGTGAATGTTTACTAATGTAACAGTTCAATGACAATCATTGGAACAATAATTTCTTTGTCCTATTTTATTGTTCTTTTCTTTGTGTGAGACTAAATGCCATGCAGATAACAGCACAGATTCCCTTCTCTTTTTAAATCTAAATAACTGATCTGCAAAGGGCCTCTGACGTCGAATTTAGCAACTGAATTCTTTTGAAATCGGTCTGTTACAATGATGTTTCTGAAACCATCCTATTCTTCTGCCTTTAAATCCAGAACAATTTAACCAAAGCTAATGCATGCACTGAAAGAATTAATGAAGAAATAGATGCCCAGATGCTACAGTGATTATGGCTTAAGAGCTTTCTATTAAATGTATAACATAAGTGACAGATTTATTAAATTTATTTCTTTGTGCTGCTGTATATGAGGAAAATGTGGGGATTCACCTCAGAATTTGGCACTCGATTCACTAAAATTGGTATCAGAAAGAATTGTGTCAAAACATGTGCTTTCAACATCACCATCATGATTAAAGGAAATCATGACACATATGAGTGTTTAACTCACCGCAAGGTGTTCTAGAATGTGAGCTAACAGTGATTGTACTTGCACTATTAAGTTATAATGAGATATCGGTTAGCAAACTCAGAATATGTAATAGGCCTTACATATTCTGGAAAAAAAAAAAAAGACCCAGAATAACTTTCCTCAAGCTTTTTAACCACGGACCATCATATGATAATAATATGAAATTTACCTCTCTTTTAATGTTACTTAAAATTCAAAGTAAATCCAGTGTTAGGTTTAAAAGCAAAGCTGCTTCCTTCTCCCCTTTTCTTCCCCACCACTTATAGAGAAAATTCACTTGAGAATACCATGGAGAATGAAAAGCAGCAAGCAGAGGAGTTGATTGAATGTGTAGACCAAATATCTCTAGTGGGCAATAGAGAGTGACAAAACAAGGAAATGCCATCTTGAAACAAGACTTCAAAGATGGCATTATCCTCTATTTTGGATTAGAAGCAAAAGTATGCAACAAGCATGACACTAGCCCTGTAAGGCTACTCAGGTTGGCCGCTATTTATTTGGAAAAGTCACCCTGTTAATCTCTGCACCACAGTTTCCTCAATAGTAAAAAAGAGGGCGCATGATGTCTCTGCTACATCAGTTGTTAGGGGAAAGCAAATGAAAACATGTGAAAACTCTGAAATAAGTTCCATATAAATGTCCAATTTTATGTTTAAATTACTTTTAATCTTCCTCTAGGAGATTAAGAGCCCGCAAGTTACATCTGCCTTATTAGGATGCTGTGAAAATCATGGGTAATTTCTTTAATTCAGGGCTCCTTACAAGGAGTTGATTTGCAGACACACAAGAGAGCCTATCATTAAGTAACTGTTGCAGTTTCTTCTTTTGGGGGAAGATTTCATGGTGTAAAGATGACCCCATGGACAAGGTGCCACCTCTCTCTTGCTGTTCTCAACTAGGTCTGGTTATATCTTAAAATAGTTTAAATGCATGCTCTCCAGCTTTGATGTTTCTTGAACATTCTACAATAGCATTAGCAATGACGTGGCTATGTTTGGAAGGAAAAATACATTGTATTTCATTTGTTCTACAACACTCTTTTAAATCAGAAAAGTTATATTACACTTAATTGACGGTTTTAGAATGAATAATTCTGAGAACCCAGTCATTTGGGGACCCTGGGGCTTCCTTTTATTGTACATAGTTTCTTTTTAAGCGTAAAAGAGTCCGAAAGTGATAGTCATGGGCTTTTATTGGTAACCACTAAATGTATGGGTTTTTTCCCCCCTGCAAGATCCATTCATTTTAGGATGTCTGGATCTTGATTCCATTCTGAGAAGGAAGCAGTTAAGTCCTTAAGACTTGTACAGGGCACTTCCGTGCAGAATACTTGTCTTTCAGAGGATGTGTGAAGGTAGTCATGGACTTATAGCATTTTTCCAAGTCAAAGCTAGGTAAACTAATTAGCACTGTTTGTGACAATTTTATACTGAGAAATGCTCTTTCAGGGGCTATTTGTAACTAATTTAGGCATCTTCATCTTCTCAGGGGCCCCCATACATGTTTGGTTATAAGATAAAAGAGAAGTGACCCATTTAGAGATTTGAATTTTTGGGATCTGGGATCCTTTAGTTGCTTTTCAGATGATAATACGTTACCAAAAGTATCATATTTGAGGGTCATCTTAATCAGAATCTTTTCAAGGGTGGATGCATTGTTCTCTCTTGCAATTAATTGCTTGAAGAGGAAACAATTATTCATAGCAGTTATGGAGAAGAGAGGAGGACTAAATATTCCTTCCTTTCTGTGAAAGGGAGGGAGCTCATGGGTGCCAGAGGAATGACAGGTGGTTAGGAGTCCAGAGCTGGCTTGTTGACCATGGACACATCATTTCATCTTCTTCATTCTCAGTTTGTGTTTGGTTAACGTAAAGTCAGATTGTTGGGCTGCATTATCGCTTGAGTCCTTCTAGCACCAAAATTCTGTGGAGTCAAAGGAAGTATCAGACCAGCTTGATATTTTCTACGTGCCCCTCAAGTCACACCAGCCTTGATTTTATAGTTAAGAACAAAATAGTTTCAAAGCCTTACTGTTGGGTTAAATGCAGCACCAGGAGTATGGGATTGAGTTTTTAGAATGTAAACTAAGCTGAATGAAGAGAGTGTACTTTGAAGCTATTTATTCTAACCACTTCTAAACGGAAGAAAATCACTTAATAAAAAAAAAATAACTCTTCACTCTCCAACACAAATTGGTAAGTAAACATTTTGATTTCTGGCTTTGTCACAGTGCAATCTCATCAGTAAACACAGTGTTCCGACCTGTGCTGGAAAACTCATTTTATGCTCAGACACATGTAGTATTTCAGAGTGCTGCTGCTTTCCTTGTCAAATTTGTTTTGAACAGGACCGCTAAAGCTTTGTGATACATCTTTTCATGAGGCATGTGTTGAAATAGAATGCAATATATGAAGAAGAAACAGTTAAGATATATGTATATATTTATATTTTTTCATTTTTTTAAAGAAAGTCAACACCAACCAAAATAAATTTTTAATTGCATTGGAATCATAAAACTAGTACCCCCACATCCCAAGAGAATCAGAAATAGTGTTCTCCATTGTTGATTTTCAGGCCTGTGATGCATCTTCAGCACTAACATTGCAGCTATTTCTAGGTAAAATGGGAAATAACACTTAGGTTTGGTTTATATTTTTCAAATGAATATGTGATATGCTCATGTGCAGGGTGCAGAGGATAACATCCCTGTTTATATGTTTGTTTATTTTTTATTGATACAGTTTAGAATGATTATGGGGGTTGTCATTCAGTGACAAAGGGGCCTGTTCCAGGAAGCCTTCCTGACCCAAAAGTCATTCTGATTACTGCAATGGACATTTGGTGTGGACAAAAGGTACCTCTTGGTTTTCTTGCCTGCAAAGAAACTTGACTTAAAGCACAGGGTCTTCCATGTAACCATTTTAGGTTAGAAGATAATTCCACTTTTTGGTATGGAGACCAGTATTCCTGTTTGAAAGAAGGTTGAATGAAGGGTTTGTGTTCAAGATTGAATGAAGCAGAGCTATTTTTGCAGTAAATGGGAATATGTACTTCTGAAATATAAATTAAGACTAGGGCTGTGCTAGGAGTTTTATTTCGGACTCGGTTTTTTGTTTCCATAGCAGTCCCAATTTCTTACAATATCTTTTTTCATAAAAAAAGTATGTTAATACATATCAGACCAGATGGCCCAATTTGAGGTTCAGAAAATATGGTTACTTTATTTATAGGTAAATAAATTAATCCCAAGGCATGAGTCGGGGTGCTTTGAAGACCATAACATATATTTAATGAGCTGTAGCTCTAAGTGAGACTCTAACACCCTCTTTTAGACTGGTGGGTAATAATAAATGGGAATGGAATAGGAATAAAGCAAATAATGTCCTAAGGAAGGTGTCTTGCTATTGTCTAGGAAAGGGTATTCCCACATTTACTGAGCATGGTATTGATAACATACAGTTAATTGTGTTTTTTTTGTTTGTTTGTTTGTTTTTACCCATTTGCTATTACTGGTAACTTGGAAGAAGGCTTTGTATCCAGAGTACCAGGAGTGAAATGATATTGGTAGTTAATTCACAGTGAACTAAAATTATTTGCTGCATAGATGTTCCACAACTGGTTTCTCATCCTAGGTTGTCTTTATTCAGGCTCAGAATGATGGTCTCCCATTAGACAGCCAGTCTAGAAAATGAATGTTATCAGAAGGAAACAATATAGTACAAAGAACCAATAAATACTCTAAAACTAAAAACTCAAGCAAAACCTAATGGAGAAGTCTGTTGTTCAAGCCAAGGTGCCACATTCAGCAAGAGAAAATATGAGGGATTCAGGGGCAACTTTGACATGGTTCCTCACCATTAATAGACATAACCAAGAGGTGACTATTGTGGCGAATGATGCAAAACACAAATAAGTTACTGAAGAAATATACAAGTTAACATTTTCTGTGAAAATGATAGAAATGCCAACTTTATCATTGGTCTTAATAGTAATTATTAGAAATAAATAATAGATATGGAAAATATGCTTGTTTTCCCCCCAGTTATTAGCAGTATGTGGAAATGTACTTGAAATTTATTTATTTATTTATTTATTTATTTATTTATTTATTTAGAATTCTGTAGATCAAGGTTGTATATATTTGGGGTCAGAGAGCATGAAGGCATTTTCATTCACAGCTTCTTAAGCTCCTGGCTTTTGAGGAGTTAGTTACATCTTCAACTAATCAAAGCAGTCCAATAGCCCCTGTGGATATCAAGGAAAGCTGTGCCAATGCTGAGCCTAAGAATTATATTTGTTTTAGAATACATAGATTAATACTATATATCCATACATTTATGTCATGTATTTCATATTCTGCCTTTGTTCTGGCAAAAGGTAGACAAGCAAAATGAATAGAACGAGTCATTGAAGGAGGCTTCTTGGAGTGTAGTGAAAGTGTATAATTCCCATGTGTTTGGGAGAAATGGTAAGTCTTAAGGATTGAAAAGCCTTTCTTTGCACTCTAAATTGGCTTTTTGTACCATTGTCATAGTGTTATTAGGGCTCAGCTCTGAAACATTACATAGTAAAAAGAAATATGAAGTTTCTTTCCCAAGAAGGGTTACTTTTTATGTTTTATGGAATATTGCAACATTTCTTTTATTTTTCATAGACATTATTCCTGTTACATAAAGGTTGCAAATAGCAGGGAAACTAGACTATCTGGCTCCATAGATCTATTTTGTCCTCTCTAGAAATAGCCTTACTTGAAATCATTATATTTCTGTATTTTTGTTGTAGCTGTTGTTTGCTATGACTTTCT